TCGACTTTAGGCAACACATAGTGACTTCAGCCCAGATCCTCAAAACTCTCACAGGATCCTTTCAACAGCAGTTAGGCAGCAAAATATCCTTGAGAATCGGGCCATTAGCAAATGTGAATAGAAATGCAAACAAGAAAGTGTAATGCTAATTTGAAAGAACCAGACGCCAAATTCTGTGCACCCTTGAGACCCATGTTTTCTCCAAAGTACTACTTAGGATGCCAGGTAGAGTGTGAGCATATTTGCACAAAAACCAAATTGTAAATACTGTACAAGCCAGTAGGTAGAGTGTGAGCATATTTGCACAAAAACTAAATTGTAAATACTGTAATAAATACTATTTGTGGGAAAGTAGCCTTACAACAATGAATCTGGTTTCATATTTACCCTTGCTTGCTAAATGAAATCTAGTGCCAAAAGCCAGAAATAGTTCAACGATTTGAGAATTGTCAAAAATGCATAAATAGAAAAACTAGCTAATGAGGTATGCTCTCTTCCAGTCAATTGCAATATTCGAATATCTACTATTTAACTGAATCAATAAACACAACCCAGCCCAGCCAATAAAAAAGTAATATTTTTCAACTTTGCTGGTGAAAAAACAATGAGGAACTAGCTATCTTTTACTCTCTAATATCTATAGTTCTGAATTGTATTTATGTTCAATGTTTTTATTAATTGAAATACATAAATTCACGTTTCAGTCATTTTTCCTCTGTCTTTTTAGGGGCTATCATGTTTTCTTTAGTTTGGGTCACCAATAGGGGAACCAAAGATGAATCACCTTAAAAACATTAATCAGGCATCTTAAAACCATGAGACATAACATCAGTGAAATCACTTTAAAGCTATTCAGAGGACTACAGCCTTTTTCCAGCAGCTGCATTTCCCTCAATTCCATAGCGACATAAGTTATACGGCTATAACCTCTTTGTCTCTAAGGGTTCTTTTCAAAGGTGGTCATGAAACTGAGCATTTTAAAATAACCTATTGAAGCAGCAAAGTTAAAAACAATCAAGCCATCCCATATTTCCAAAAGGCCATCTGCCTTCATTGCCAAGGATCATATTACTTGCAGCATAACTATAACCAGATACTCTAGACATATATTTCAAGTTTCATGATTTGTGGCTTTGATCACGTATTTCATGTGTGGGTCTCTGCTTTGGCCGATAGCAATACAGTCAGATATGGAGGGTCAGGCTGAGTCTGGCCCTTGTTTGCTGTAAAAGGAGAACACAGGGACCTGGAATCTCTTGTGAATTGGGATTAATCCCTGCTAACAGCCAAATGAGGTTGCAAAGAAGGCAGAGGTTTGAGAGGTGAATGTGTGTAGCACACATGATGCTGTAACCTCCTGATAGATGGCACAGCGGGCACGCTCCCCTCTGCATGCCAGCAAATAGGTAAGTGCTTGGCTTGGTTCACTGTGCTCCATGCAGCCATGCCTAAATAGCATAATATGCCCTCAGTTAGCTAAAAGCAATACTATTCTATAACATCAAGCTTGAATTAGACACTATTAGAGTCAACGTTATTCACTCAGTCAATTGTCAACTCAAGTTTTTCTGAAGTTAGGCACCTAAAACCATATTTATAAAGCAAACTGGACTCTTTTTCAGAAGCACTGAACATTCCCTATTCCCATGCAAGTCATAGAAGTGGCGGTGAGCTGCAGCAACTGACATGTTTGATAGTTCAGGCTGGATGTGTGCATACATGAGCTTTGCTCGATTGGGGTCAGAATATTCAGCATCTCATTGATTCAAGGGGCAGGTGCTTAAATATGGATGTAGGTGCTTAACTTTAGGAACGAAATTTTGAAAACTTTGGTTGACTCAATTGATAACCATTTAGTAAGGCTACGTCTAGACTGCAAGCCTCTTTCGAAAGAGAGTGTCTAGACTGCAACCTCTTCTTTCGAAAAAGTGAGCCGCTTTTTTGAAAGAGAGCACCCAGGCATGCTCTGTTTCGAAAAAGCCATGTTTGCATTCAACAACGCCTTTTTTCAAAAGAACACTTTCAAAAAAAGGCATTATTCCTCATGAAATGAGCATTACCACCATCGAAAGAAAAGCCGCGTTCTTTCGATTTAATTTCAAAAGAACGTGACTGTAGTCTAGACGCAGCTGAAGTTTTTTCGAAAAAAGGCTACTTTTTTTTTCCAAAGGCTACTTTTTTCAAAAAAAACCCTGCAGTCTAGACACAGCCTAAATCTGTTTACTGGTACCCACTTCAAGCTTAACAACATAGAACAACATTGTGGTTAACCACACTAGGCCATATTATGCCCCTCTAGTCTTATTATAAAAACCACAAATAATCGCATTTAAACATTACAAAATTTAAAAAACCCACTAAGATTCAGGTGGAGACTTCATCCTTATTAACTCCATTGTGGCTAGACACTGAATCATCAACCTACCGGTTGAACCTCTCTAGTCCAGCATCCTGAGGACTGATCCATGTTAAACAAGAGAATTTGCCGATCCACAGGAGGTCAATATTGTCTAGCAGCATTACCAACACTTCCACTGCTTACCGGGCTCTTAGAAGACATTTAGGGGTAAATTAGAGGTAAATAACAGCACAGAACACTGAGAGCCGGGACTGGTGTCTGTAAACAAACTTTATGGGACTATAGGAAATTTGGGCACGCCCATAATAAATGGACATCCAGCTAATTAAAATCATGATGGAACAGAGATGTTGCTGGAACAGAGAGTGAACACAGGTTTCATATGGGTGAAACATCAGAACACCAAAATGTCACTGGCATGGTCCAATTTCATTCAGATTTGAAAGTGAAATTCAGGAGCTATCAATCCCACTTTACCTGGAACTGCCAAATTGTAATTGCCAAATTCCCTGCAAACTAAAATTGCAAACTCTTCCCACATCTAATAATATGGAACATCAGAGAATAAGCCATGTATATATATTCTCCATAGTACTTGTTCCATGTTATTAACTTGTGGAAAAATAGAGTTAGCTAAGAATTTGACCTTTTTATTTTTAATAGGGATTCATGGTATACATAAACTTTTGAAAAATTCTGATAGGGATGTACATTAAAAATAGTATCACCTTGCATGCACATAGTAAACTTCCAAAAAAAAGTTACACTCTGTGTATTAACTACTTTAAAAACATAATTTCTCAATGTTCATTTATGAAATAAAAATTAATCAAATATTACTTTGGAAATGCAGTTTGAAGTCTGATTTTAATTTCCATTTCACGATGTAAATCAGCTATATTTAATGTGCAGGTACATTAAAAGTCTGAAATGTGCTAAAGAGTCAGTGCTCTCAATTACAGATGAGTGAATCTAGATTAACTATAAAACTTGGGTTTCTATGCAATCCTGCTATGTCAACTTCTACTGGAAACAATGAAGATAACTTTCAATGTAGATTTTCATTCAGATCAGAGCTATTTATCATGTAAAACATTTAACTCAAATATAGATTAAAAATCATATTGCGTGGAATCACTTTGTGCAGAATCAGTACAAGGACTTTCTTACATTAAGTTATTTTTCTAATGATGTGTGCTACACAAAAAAGCACAGTAGGAGTCCAAACTTGTGAGACCAAGGCAATAATGATAACTTGATAGGGGCCCACAATCAAAATCTAATTAGGATACAGATATATACACAGTCTCAAAAAAGAAAAAAATCCAAATAGTTACTTAAATCTTCCTTGATAGCTGTGGTGGAGGTTAAACCTCTAATTTTAGAACCAGATCTACATTTTAGTAGACACACATGAGCAAAAGTCTAGTCAAGCATTTTGGTTTGCCCCATTACAGAAATAAAACCTAAATACAAAATGACTTAGGCTCCTGAAAGTCACCAGGCTGAAGTCTTGGAGTTCTAAGTAGATGACAAGACACATATTTTATGACAATCAAGGATGCATCTGGCCTTTCACATGTGCCTTGTATATACCCTGGGATTATGTACAAATTCTATAATTCTTCATGCTAACTGTAGTCAGGCAGGATGTAGTGAGAGAGGGGTCAATTTGCCAATCTAACAAATAGTTATGATAAAAACATACCGTCCTTATCTGTGCAAAGGTTTTGCTGCTTGCATTTTATTTTCATGGCTACTATAAAGAAGCATATGTTGAAATTATAAGATATCACACTGGAAATCCTGACTGTGGTGAGTGTAAATTGTGTGAACTATTGCTCAAACTGCTAAACAATTCAAATAATGTATGTTGACCATGGTTGTGTCCACACTGCGGGAAGCCAATGGGAGCAAATGCTGTGGTCAGCTCCCCTTACTCCTTGCCAAAGGAGGAGTATCGGACGCCAACAGGAGCTGCCCTCAGCATTCAAATTATGGGTCTAAAGTAGACCCACTAAATTGAATGCCAGAAGATTGACCTCAGGAACGTCAGTGTCCCAGTAAGGATAGACATGCCCCTGGAGCCTAATAGATTGTGATCTATGGATGCTGATCTGCAGTATCATGTGCCGCCCTGCTGTGTTACATGTGTGAGATCTACTACTCTGTAGTGTTACACAGACTAGAGGACCTCTGTTTGAGTTTTTCCCAACTTATCTCACAGTACAACTGCTATCTGCAATTTCAATTACCTGAGATCTCACCAATGTAATCCTTGGCAGAGTTAGTAGAACAATTACAATTCTCAGCATGATTGTTTCAGGCTCCCTGCAGACTCAGGCACAGAGCCTATTATGTTACTTTTGGACTAACTTGCTAAAGTTTTTTGCAATAAGAGACTTTTATTTTAATGAAAGAATTTCTGAAGGCACCAATGGAGTTAGCTGAACATCTTCAATTGACTTGTCACAGGAGTTAAGCTCTTAATTCTTCATTTGTGGTTTTGGAAATCTTCTCCTAAGATTCTGCAGAACAATTATTCAGCAAATTCAGGACAGATAATTATTCAGAAGTTTCTCTGGGGTCTACTTACATGTTATTGCTCAAATTGACAACAAATCCACACTCATTCTTGATCTTAAATGATAAACTTTTATTCTGAATATACTGTTTTTGCACAAGAATTAACACAACATTTTTTAGGATTATAAACTTTTTATAACATTATTGTACAAATTTTTACAAAATTTTATTTTATTTCTTCCAGGCTTGTCATGTTCCACAAAAGTGTCAAGAGAACACAATAAAAGGGAAAAAAAAGGCCGGTTTGCTCAATCAGAGCAGTCAGGGGCCTTTTTCTGCAGGAACGCACAGTAAGCATCTTAATAAAAATATTTCAGTTAGCATGATCCAGACATTCCATACAACACAAGAAGAGAAGACAGCTTTGTCAGATCACAATCGCAAATTCATGGCATCTGAACAAGACAGTATCCCTTTAGCCTCAGTGAAATTATTTCTTCAAGATAACCCTTTAAGAAAAACCAAACCCAGAAATGCTGGTAAGAGGATGAAGCCAAATTTTGAAACTCTGGAATTGTTTTGAGACACTTTTTCATAGGTTTTTTTGTTTGTTTGTTTTTTACAATAGTGTACATTGAGTATTAACAATATTAACACTGTGGTATCAAAAAAGAAACAAAATATAAATATGGCCTTTGCTAAAGGTCTGGATGTCTCATGAAGGCTTAGGATAAACTTTATACTCCAAAGGAGTTTACTCACATTTCGTTTTCAGTAGACATTCTAAAAAACTTCACAGATGTTTTTGCAGTGGTTTGCCCACATTACTGGAGTTCTTATTTACCAGCAGGGTTAGCATTTGTATTTGCACAACTGGTGAAATTAAATGTAGTGTTTTCAAATTAAGACATAATAATAATTAATCTTTGTGAGCTTCAATGTAAGAGAATAAAGAATTTCAATGTCCTTTAAAAGCTAATGAAAACTGTTAAACACGGCAAGTAACACTTGGGTTGCAAAGGTCACTTAAAAGGGATACTGCCTATGTGAACCCAGTAAGGCAAGTATTTAAAGTTACTAAAAGGAATATTATAGGAAAACTTACAAATGGCAGCAACACTGTTTTTGTCAAGTTAAGCAATAAAGCCTCAAGCATTAGAAACATGAAAAAGATTTACTACAGTCTTAAAGGTACTGGACCTAAAAATCTCTTCACTCAAACTTGCTAACTATGTCATGTTAAAAACCTGTTAGAAATATGGACCACAGTCAGTGTTTTGGCAGTAATGCTGGTTGTTCAAATGAAAAATAAGAAAGAAACTTTTCATGTTATGTCCTTATTCCTTCATGTTTGTTTGTATAGTACAGTGCTATAATGACTTGAACTGTGTTTAACTGTCAGATATGCAATAGGCTGTGTGACTACAGTGTAAACTAAAAGCCCTTACCTACACTAGGGAATTATTTTGAAATAATTCCCCATATTTCAAAATAACAAGCCGAGCGTCCACACTACCAAACCTGTTATTTTGAATTAATGGGCTAGTTATTTTGAAATAACTTCTGATTCCAATGAGAAATGATGCTTATTTTGGGAGTTACTATTTCAAAATAAGTTATTTTGAAATAATTTGCTAGTGTAGACAAACCCAAAGAGTTCCAGCAACTTGTCTAGATCCCCTAGGGCTATTTAAAGGCTTTAAAACAAATGTCAACACAGCTTATTATTTGGTAACTAAAAAAATGAAAACCATTTAAACAAGATATAATGTTTCTAAATTTTAAATATTAGAATTAAAGTTTTTTTCTTATAAACAAGTCTATATGTGAGAGTTAGAATGCATGATGTATATAATGTTTACAATGTTGTGTTTGCTCTTCTGACAAATAAATCTATACAGTCCTTTTCTGAACTTTAAATCATTGGATGTTATTTGTGTGTAATCAGAAAATACCTAGTTCTCTGCAAACAGCAGCAAAAGTTCAATTTTTTAATCTTAAAAATATTGAGCCTTGTGAAAAACAATAGCTGGGCCAAATCCTGAGTTTTCAATCTGTCACCACACAGACAAAACCTCTGTGGAAGAAAAATTACTTGCACAGAATGGAATTTTCTAAAGCATCTGTGTGACTGAGTGGCACAAGTCCTGTAGACTTTCAGTGAGATTTATACTGTTTAATCATTAGGCATTTTTGATAATCCCACCCATAGTCAATAGGAGTTGGCTTGGAAAATATCCGAGTGCAGATCTGTATTTGGAAGTGTAAACAAGGAGCCTGGCTGTGTGAGGACTAGGAAGAACTCTAGTCCCTTTGGGTATGTCTAAACTACAGAGCTTTTCTGGGATACCAGAAGCATCCCAGAAAAGCTCTGCTGGGTCCAAGATACACGTTTACTTTTCCAAAAAATTTTCGGAAAAGCAGACTTTTTTTTGGCATCCCTGTAAACCTAGTCCTACGACGAAGAAGGGATGTTCTGAAAGAGGGTTTTCCTCCAACATTTGGCCCAGTGTAGACAGGGTAAACGTCGGAAAAGCCTCTTTTGGAAGAAAAGCAGAAAGATACGCAAATTGCATCCGACTTTTCTTTGTAGTGTAGACATAGCCTCTGAGGTGCCAGGACTCCTCCTTGCCTGCTTCCAAGGGCTGCATGGCAGCTCAACGGTGTCAGAGAGGAGTCAGGGGCCAGTGTTTCTTCAAATCTGGGTGGCAGCACAGCTTCACAGGTGATTAATCAGCTCTGCCCAGTCAGTGGCTCAGGGCTCCAAGCATGAAGCTGACTGACTGGGCAGGGCTGATTAATCACCTATGAAGCTGTGCTATGGCACAGCTTAGCGGGAACACTGTCAGGAGCTGATGGCAGTTTTTCTGGGGCAATGTGACTCTGCACCAACCTCCTCTATGGGCACAATTAATGCCTCAGTAAGTAACATGGGATTCCACCCATCTCTTTTAACAAATCTAGTACAGACACACGTACTCCACATCATTCTGGAAGTGTAAGCATCATACTTTTCCAAGAAGGCTTTTCTTCTGGGAAATATTTAAATATATAGCACTTAATATTCTGGTAACTTTCCAAATAATTATAAAAGAAAAATACTTAATAAACTGAGGGTTAGCTTCATCCATGTAATAAATATCACCCCATCCAACAAACCTCTTTCTGCTACGAGCATGTCATTGGCAACATGCAAGCGGATTGTAGAATGGTGCTCCAGTGATTGACAAACTACAGTTGGCATTTTCTGTGTGGTGAGCAGGCATAGGCAGAGTGAAGGGAACACCAGCAATGCCAATGGAAGGGAATGATCCCCAATTATCCTCATCCTGTGCTCCTGAAATCAGCTCATCTTCACTAGGGAAGAAATGGAGTCCACCAGACTCAGTCAGTTGTACTTTTAATCAGATTATTTTCCTACAGACATTAAACAGTTAATTGTGATAATTAAACAATGTGAGTTTTTTTCCATTTTCCCAGCACTGTAACCCTAAACATGGGATTATACACATCTGGAATCAAGGGCAATGTGGAAAAAACCCCAACTAATCTTAGGCACAGCTACATGTAGTCATCTCATTTTGTGAGCCGTGTTATAGAATTGAGTGGGTTCTTCAATTTTCAATGTATATTAATGCACATCTAATAATTATGATCAGCTTTTGACACATTCAGGATTATAGTAGGAATTTCCCAGCATATACATACCACAATTTTGCATTTTCAATGTTTAAAACAACAACTGATTTGTACCATGTAGATATTTGCATATTGCAGCTGTTAGCAGAGAGTTGCACGTCAGCAGAGTTGCACATTCATTGGTTTAGCTGTCTTGCAATACTGTTAAATTCTGAAAAAAGCGCAAATCATATATTGCATGTACACTATTCTACAGTGTGATATTATAATTTACTGCACTAATTTGTATCACCAACAAGGTTGTATAAAACAATTTTTTATTATTATTAACAATCAAGTATCAATGTGCATACATATAGATTCAAGGCTCCCCATTTGTTCAGATTCCATTCTAATTTCAGCAGCCAGGAAATCTTGTTCTTTTTAGCTTGCTATTTTCAATATAAAATAGCAACAGGAGGAATTTAAACATTATAGGGTGCAACAATGCTATGAAAACAAAAGGGGAACCTGGCATGAATCTCAGAACAACATATTCTCTTCAAAAATAAATGTGTCAAATCTGATTTTTATATACTTAAAATATCTGTACATAAGTTTTCCTGTGAGAGCACTAATCTGTATAAAATCCATCTCATCCCTTTTGTCCAGCCAACTAAATTTAAGCTACTTTCTTAGCTTTTTTCATTGCACAGTATATTCAGAGCTCTGTTTAACAATATAATTTAAGATTATTTAATTGCATCACATTGCAATGTTCAGTTTCTCACACAACAAAAGAATCACTCGGTTATCTTTTCAATGGACTATACGCTACCATTCAAGAAAACAAACTTAAAAACAATAAAGAAGCAGCATCATCATGCAAAATATCCTTGGAAACCAACGTTCAATAATCACAAAGACATTTTGTATTCACAAGCTTTTTCTTTTGAGCATTTTGAAGGATTTGGCTAGCGTTACATAACTGCACTGTGAAGAGCGCGCTGATCATTACATGGAAATTAACAGCTTTCTGAGAGGGACATGACATTCAGTTCAGGAAGAAAATTACTTGGTTAGATAAAACATCAAACTTTCAAACACCTTTATATTTCAAAATTCAGTAGCTTCTTTCTTGATTTATTTTATTTTTAAAACCAATAGCTTATGAACCTACCAAAACTTAGCTAGCCGCCCGTTTTGATTGATTTTGGCAGAATAAACCACATATTGTAAGGCATTTCAGTCGTGGTGAACTTCTGAGGAACATTAGCTAATATTTTCAAATTCACTAAGCAGTTCCGTACAAACTGAAGTATGACAACTATTTTATACTCTGGACATAACTGATGTTCAAAGCAGCCATAATGGCATTAATAGAACAAAAGAGCAGGGTTAAATAAATGTGAATTCACAAGTGTGTATGTAATAGCATATAGGATCTGCAATAAATTCAATGCTAAAATAAAAATAAATAAAAATCATACCATACATAAGCTATTTTAAAGGGGAGCCCTTTTACATGAAGTCATCAACGATACAACAATGAACACAAAAATCTTAGATTCCTCAATAAAGCACATATAGATTTCTGTTCTGATGGCATAGATGATGCAGCATTCACACGAGTTTAAGGATCTGACAGTCCAACATGCAGCCACTGTGGGTGTCATTTTGGATCTTTCACATAGACTGATGTGGGCATTGCTGTTCTTCTGCTGTCTGAATAGCTGACCCTTTGAAAATGAAACTGAGGGCTAACGTTTTGGCAGGGTCTTGATTAGTTACGCAGATTTTGGTTTCACAGGGTCATAACTGGCAATGTCTGCTGCCAGATACCAGCCAAAGCAGGACAAATTGGATTCCTACCATAGACCACAGTGATGGGCTCAGTCCAGAGACTCCACCACAGTCTGACGAATCTTCCTGTTGGCAAGAAAATGAGATAGTTCAGCATGAACTAGCATTCAAGGTGAAATAATCTGCACTCTAGCCTGTTACATGTTGATCTACTTTGCAGGATGGATTTTGGTCTCAAATACACCATTTTCCCTAGTGTGCCATTCATATTGTTAGTGGTGGCAACAATCTGAATATTTAAATTAAGTGCTATGGAAGTTATACCTAGAACATCCTTGTAAAAGCAAAGACAAATACTTACAGACACATACTGTGGTTACTCACCATAAAAGAAAAAGCAGGATGAGTGCACATTCTGATGAGAAATAATTTGTGAAACTAACTACTGAGCCCTAAATCACTCTATCTGACCGAAAATAAATGTGTTTAATTCTCTACATTGACAATACTGGACCTTCTTCCCCACCCCCGAAACACCATTTTCCTGCAAGGAAAGAAGGAAGAGCAGTGAAATCTTTGGGGGTAAGAAAAAAGAAACCAACCAACCTATGCCCAATACTCTAAGGGCACGCATTTAGAATGAGTGTATTCTGCCAGACCAAAGGGAAGTCAGTTCTCTTCTCTGATCTCTATCACTATATTCAAGTGCTGAAACCAAATATTGTATCGATTTCTTGAACACCCTGTGAAATCTCCAAAGGCTTGATATTCAGATCTGGCCATGCTAGGCACCACCTTTACCTTCTCCAGTTCAGGGGCTTGCCAGGAGCCACTTTCAACCCAGCAGAGTTCTAACTAGCACCAGCTGTTAATGGTCCCCAAGGAATCCATATGCCACACAGTGCTGGCATCTCTGGGATTGCACCATCCCTCCAGCCCCTTCCTCTCTTCCACAGTTATCTCTGAATCGGCTGTGGTTTTAACGATCATGAATGAAATATTTTAATGTTTGTGGATATCCTCAGGATCACAGCCCCGGCTTCTGGTCTAGCTGAGGTGCACTTGATGCACTGTAGGTAGGAGGTAACTGAGCGAATTATAGCTCCTGTCCCAATGCTGATGAAACTTATGCCTTACTATCCAGGGCCCAGTAGGTGCTGCAGCCAGGCCCTCTCCCCTACCCTCTCCCCAGCATCAAGTCAGGACCACTCGAGAATTTCTTCTTTGGCCTGGGACATTCTCAGGTTGCTGGGTGAGGCAACTTTACAGCCCTATGACCCTCCCAGCAAGCAAAGCTTTTTGTTGTTGCAGTGGTTTTACTCTGTATCGATGGTAGAAGGAGCCAGGGTCTCCTCATTCAGGCTCTCTTCCTATCTTAGGAAATATCTTATCACAGATGGAAGAAGTTACATCTGGCTCCTGCAAAATTGAAATTCTCAAAGTATACCAAGTGGAAAGCTTATGCTTCAGTGGTGGAAATGCACTGAAAGTCTGCTCTGTGCTACAGAAGACAAGTTTAGGGCAAGTTCTAGACCTTAGAACTATGTATGTTAGGCCAAACCCACACCTGATGTAATCCGGTATAGCGTGATTGTAGCTACTTTGATTTAAACCATGAGGGTCTAGTCTATTTTATTATGTCCAAATTTCTGAGTTTCGGAACGCCAATAACACATAACTTAATCTTAAACCTAAGCCTTTGCCCTAAACTTGGCTCCTCCTAATATTCTCTGCAAAGATTTCTTTGTCCTAGTCTCCAATTTCCTCGTCCAAAGAGCCACTTGCTTATATCATGGTGCAGATAATGGGCCACAACTGCCACCATCAGTCAGCAGCTTCCATTTCCCTGAAGGCTTCTAAGTCTTCTTACCAATGTAAGTAAATATGAAACTAGACATCTGTCTTACAAGCACCATCAAAGGGCGTGGCTATGAAAAATCCTTAATCTGTAATGTGTAGAGTTTTTGCCATAATCTACCTAAAAAATGTACTTGCAACACTTGCCAGACCCATCTTAAAATCTCTCTCTGGAAAATCAAGAAGTTCTTTCAGACGAGAAGAAGAGAGGTCTTCGGTTTTTCACTGCTCTGAGAGGTTAAACTGCCAAGACAAGCTATCAGAAACCAACGATATTTTCAATAAGTATTCAAATGATTCTAAATTGTTTAGGTCATTCTCTTGCAAAAAAAAAAGTAAAAGATAAAATTTTTTAAAAAAATTTAAAAATTTAAAAAAGCTCCATATTTTCTTCTATTCTTTATTAAGGCAGCCATTGCTAAATTTAAAAAAGCTCCATATTTTCTTCTATTCTTTATTAAGAATAAAGATGATGACTTCTTTCATTTGTTAGCTTCTGTTCTACTGGTTTAAGGTTTTGTTCATTGAATGTACCCCAAAATTCAAAACGTTGCTGATCAACAAGTAAGCCTTGAGTGTACTCTGTTACACAAGTTTGGAGTGACGTACTGTGATTTGAAGATGCACTGAACTTTCAGGGTTGTTATACTAGGCTTCCTTTTTGAGCCTGCATTTTGTCTTCTATTCACCAGACCTAAAAATTAAGCCAATTGCTTCTACCTTAAAGAGAGCACTACTCGAAAGGACATTATCAGTGATGGTTTCTTCTTATATGGGTTCATCAATAAGCGATATTCTGTATCACATTTCTGATACTTAGAGTCACATCATTGGAGCTCTTCCAAGGAGATATCTCCCACAAAATATGCTGTTAAAGATTAGTGAGATTTTACTCTTGAGTTTTGCAAGTTGTTTCGGACTTAAATACTGTAGTGTTGAATTTCTGAGGCCTAAGAACCACCCATAATGGAGCACATATCTTCACAGATTCACTCATTGTAATTGCTCAAAATCTCTTCAGATAGCTTCTTTTGTCCTAATCAAAGGTCAGTTATCCCCAATAAGGAAGAAATCAAGTGATACTGATTTAAATTACTTGTTTTTTTCCCCAACAATGTGTATTATAATTAGCAAGGTTCCTATGTGCTATAACTGTATAGATATGGAAAATAAAGCTGATGAAAGAAGTGATGGGGGAAGAAATGAGTAGCACTACTAAATCACACTACTAAAATATGTTATGAGAGCATAATCAGATTTGATGAAGCCATAGCCTTACAATGTCATCTTCAAAATATCTGATAAAAATGTCTTTCTCCATTCACCAGCTCTACTAAAGAAACATAGTTGTTCTGGAATTTTCTGTGAACTTTCACCCCAGGATTCCTTGTATAAGTGCATCCATAAGTGTCCAACATAGTGATGAAGAATATCTGAGTCATAGCCATCTCTGTTATTTCCCTCCAAGTATTAATTTTAGATCAGTTGATAGCAAGCAGCTTCCATGGTCCTTTCCTGCTCCAGAAGATGGCTGGGTAACCTTTTGAAGTAATTTAACTGCATGGAAAGCTGCCCAGAATTTCCTTTTCTTTCACAATCATTCTTATTTACACATAATTTTCACTCTCTTCTTCCCATCTGCCAACACTGGCAGACACTGGATATATTGTTTTCTAATTCATAACACTACTCAGTCCTGAATCAGAATGTTTAACTGAAGCAATTTGTCTGTTACCTTTTCTATTAATCATCAGTAGTATGGATATTTTTCTCACTGACAAGAATCTTTTTTGTCACTTTCTTTCCATTCTAGCAGTGTGAACTCTTCTATAGTCAAAAATCACTCTCCAATTCTTCCACACATCAAG